ATAATTTTTTTTTTTCATTTTTTTGATTTTGGATGCAAATTCCTCCAATACATGAATTAAAAAAATAAAATGCATTAGAATTCTGCAAAAAATAAAAATAAAAAGAATGTAGAAAATGAAAAGTGCTTGTGCCATACTGAAATTTTTTTATACATACATTATTTCTCCAAATATAGCTATACTTAGTTAGCAAAAATAATTATTTTGAAATATCCCCCAAAAATCCAGGAATTTGAAATTTATCGCATATAATTTTTTTTTTTTTGGATGTGTTGGTGAAGTTAAGCAATGAAGTTGATCCCAAAATAAAAAATAAAAAAACAAAACCTGCAAGAAAACATTAAGCATTATTTTATATAAAAATAATTTTTTTTTTTGAAAATTTTTTTAATTTTTTAAATTTTTTTTTTAATTAAAAACAAAAGTGTATATATATATAAATTTTTGAATAGAATAGAAAACAAAGTTAAAAAAAATGACACACAAACCCTTACCTAATCAGTAGTAAGTTTTTATAATTTTTAGTAGTTTTTTTTTTTTTTATTTAGAATTAGATTTTGTAATTTAGAATTTCACATAATCACAAATTCATTAAAAAAAAAATCCATTACAGTCAAACCAGACAAGAAAAAACACACTTTCTTTTTTTGAGTTTCAAAACCTTACAATTCCTTCCTCCTTTTTTTGTACACATTTTTTTTGAAAGAATGCAATAAATTTTGAAATATTTTTAAAATTTTTGATTTTTGTTAAAAAAATTAATTTTTTACCCATATTTTTGTCGAATTTTTTAAAACCAAAATTTTTTTAATACGCATCGTGATCATTATTCAAAGCCTTAAAACAAAAATGCATTTATAGCATTAGATTTACCAAAAAATAAAAAAAAATGTCATGAATAATTATTAATTAAATTATTTAAATATAAATCATTTCCACATTAGTGTCCCCATCCATAAATAAAGCATAAAACCAACAATAATAATATATAATTCCTCTTTAATCGCAACTGATGGTATGCAAACCTTTTTTTTTTGCATTTGTCTGTTATTTTATACCAATAAAATTATAATAATAAGTGAAATCAAGCATATTATATGAATAAAGGAATGAAAAGCAAAATAAAATTAGCTTTAAAAATTAAATTAAAAAAAAAATATTAGCATGATTATAAAAACATATAGGAATGATTATGACTGAATAGCTGAAAATTTAATAATAATAAATTAATTTTAATAAAAAATTAATCTGAAAAAAAAAATGAATATTTATTCAATACTAAGAATATGATTATTAAAATAATTCAATATTTTTAATTACAAAGATTTTTAGATTTTTTTTTTTTATTTTAATAGTAAGTAGTTAATTGTAGTTTTCATTCATGTAAAATTATTGCATTGATGTTATGATAATTTTATTGCAATTTCGAGCCAAAATTTTTTTTAAATTTATATAAATAATATTATCATCCATTTGCCTATATTTTTGTGCAATTTCCTAACAAAATTTATATGACTTGTTTCAAGAGAAAACAAAAATTTCTCTTATTATATATGGTAATGACCCTTATTACTATATACAATGCGGTTGGATAAAAAATATTAACAATGAATAGATTTCGTAAACTTCAAGAAAACAAAAAGAAATTGTACATATATAAAATTTTGATATTTTTATTTTACAAATAAAATAGAGAAAAAGAAGTATAAAAATGAATAAAAACTAGTGTACCTATATACACTTTTAAAAATAAGGTCAAGTTTTATATTATATATGTAACTACAATAGTCCTTTGTACAATAACAAAGAAGAGACACTCAATTTTTCAAGGCAATTTATATTTCTTTTATATTCATGTTACTTGTCTATTTATATAAATATTGCATATTGTCAATGACTTTATATTATTTATCCCACATTAAAAGTTTTTACGGATATTAAATTTAATATACATTGAAATATACGATCATATATTTCTGCATATCAAATACATACATCTATATTATTTATATGAGTACAGTAACAATATAAAAAATTTTCTCCTTGATCTTATTCTTTACTATTAAATATAAATATAACAATATGTTGAATTTTGTTATACTCATATTACCTACATATATTAAAGTACAAATTTCTTGATAATTAAATTTTTATTAATAATATAGATGAAGGAGTTAATAAAATAATATTAAAATATTTTTAATTAATTACATAAATTTCCGATTTTATATTGTATTCAAGAATTTCCCCACAAAAAAAAAAAACTCCGTAAAACTTAATTATAACATAACAGAACAGAATTATTTTAAATATTTTACTAGAATAAAAGTCATTAATTATATAGTATTTTGGGATATTCTTTATAATTTTATATTAAATCATATATTCAAATTGATTCCCAGGCAATTAGAGCAACATGTTCCACATAAATTTAGATTTAAACGGTTTTCTTTTTAAAAAAACAAAATAATTTTAATTTCTTTATGAAAAATGTGAAACTATCATTGTTATTTATAAACAATACACTTTAAGGACGTATTTTGGGAATTTTCTTTTGAAATTTTTAAATATAATCCTGAAAACCTATCCACTTTAATATGTTTTATCCAGGTCTTACAAAATCGAATTATTTAAAAAATATTCTAAATTGAATAATAATTAATAATTTAATGAAATTTTATAAAAATTATCATGACATTCAATGTACATATATACAATACATACATACATATATAAAATAATACAATAAGTACCATATGTATTGTAATTACACACATAGTAAACTATTATGTAATAGATACATTACATAACTTTTTATATAAAATGCAAGAAATTCAGCTAAAATAAATATAAAAAAAAACTATTTGAACTCATTTATAAATGGCTGAATACAAAAAAAAATGTTTTAGAACATCCATTTTTTTTATTTTCTTGATCAATTTCTTTAATTTATTTTTAATTTTAATTGTAATAGTAATTAATCTTTTTGAAAAGTTCTCAATTGGTAATTAAAAAAAAAAAAAAAAAGAAATAAAAATATTGTTTTGTAGAAAAATTTGTGTTTTGTAAATGTTTTGTTTGTTTGTTTTCTAAATGTTGTAAAAAATTTCGCTTTTCCTTTTTAATTAACTAATTTTTTAAGAAATATAAACGCTTTTCGATTCACAAATATTTTTTTTTTTCAAAAACTAATCCTTTAATTTCCTTTTCATAAAATTGTGTTTAGTTTTTCTGTGTTTTTTTTTTTTTTGCTTTTTTGCTTTTTGTTTTTGACTTTGTGTCATTCATTGTTGTTTATTTGTAAATGTTGTTCTCTAGTTTATGTGTGTTCGTATTATGTTTTATAAAAAAAAAAACCAAATACCAAATAAAAAAAACCATAAAATGCAGCAGCTGGTTTAAATTTAATTTTTCCTGTTTTTTTTTTCTCCTTCCTTCTCTCTACTTAGTATTTCTAAATCTGTTTCCTTTATTTTTGTATTTTTCTTTTTGAAAATTTAATTTTTTTTTTATATTATTTTAGTAATTGTATTTTATTTTTTCTTTTCATTTATTTTTTTTTTTATTCTCTTCGTATTTTTATTTAAAATAAAATTGAATTTCAATTTTTTTTTATTAAAAATTGAAAAAAAAAAAATCATCTTCTATAAATATTTTTGATTATTGAAATATCCTTGCCCGAAACATATTACGTTATATTGTCCTTTGAAAAATCTTAACAACAAAACAAAAAAAAAAAATCTCGACAAAAAAAAATGTATAGGTCGCTCGTAAATTGGCCATGGTTGAAGCTGATTTGGAAAGAGCAGAAGAACGTGCCGAACAAGGTGAAAAGTACGTTGAAAGAATAAATAAAAATTTATTTTTTATAAAAATGATTATTGATATTATATATAATATTGATGTTAATTAATGTTGATTTATTTTATTGATCCAAGTGTGTTCTAATTTTAGTTTTCAATTGATTGATTTTATGTTTTACATTAAATTATTATAATACTATATTGTTTTTGATTAATATTACAATAATTTTTATTAAATAATTATATAATATACATAAATATACATATATATTTTTTTAATTCTAATTATTGTTATTTTTGTTTTTTTTATTTAATTTTGTTAATGGACAATTATATTGAATTTACGGTCAAATATAATTCATTTTGCGTAATTTTGTTATTATTTTCGAAATTTCGAATATCAAATTAAAATTGCTAAATATAAATTTGATATTCGAAATTTCGAATATCAAATTTAAATATACAAAAATTGCTCTCACTTCTAAAAAAAATTAGTGAATTTACTTTACGATACGTATAACAAGTAATCGATTTAATTTAAATTGATTCTTTTATATCTAGCATTTCCTAAATTAATTATACTACTTAATTACTTTAAAAATTTTATTTTATTTGAAAACAGTCCATTAAACTAAATTAAATAAAAGAATTCTGAATTTTAATTTTTTTTAAAAAAAAAATTGACTAACTCTAATAAATAATATTTTATATTTCAGCATAAATTTAAATAAAAATTAATAAAAACTTTATTTTTTTTTATTTTTAAGTAGCTTTAGCTAGCTCGATTCTCGTTTTATATTGTTGAATAAACAAAAAAAAAAAACATTAATAATCTAACAAATATTTTTTTAAAATAATATTAATAATAATTTTTTTTTATTTTTTATTTTTGTATATTTTACGGCTTTCCCCCCACAAATCCGAACTAACAATAAAAACGAAAAAAAAAAAAAATTTTGTGTGTTGTGATTTTAAATATCGCCTTCAAAAACATTATGGCAAATTAACAATTGTTTTTTATTTTTTTGCAATAACAACGCTCTCCATATATACAATTAATTTTTGTTATAATAAAATCCAAATCCATCATTTACAAAAAAAAAAAAAATTGCAATTCCTTCATGGATTTTACTTCGAATGAAACAAAAAACAAAATTTGCAAAATTAAAAAAAAAAAAACCAAAAAAATTATAAAAGGTTGCTCGTAAACTAGTCCTTATGGAACAGGATTTGGAACGATCAGAAGAAAAAGTTGAACTTCTTGAAAGGTTTGTTTGGTTTTATCACAAAAATTAATTTAATAATCTTGAAAATGCACTTATGCTTTTTATATACCAATAAATATATATTAATAACATAAACATAATGTACATATATATATATATTTTTTGTATATTTGTTTAATTTAATAAAATGTATGTAGATTTACGTATAATATTTGTTCATTTTGTTTTTCTTTTTTTTTTATATTGAAATGCATGTATAAATAAATTATTTCAATATAAATAAAATAAGTTTTTTGAATTAATTATTAAATCTAATATAAAATTTCAATATAAAATATTTTAAATTGAAACATTAAAAAAAAAAAAATTTTAAAATATTTAATTGAAATCTTCAATATACAATTAAAATTTGTTGTAAGAATCATAATTTTAAATTCTAAATTTAATTAAATTCTTCTAAAACTAAATTATTTTTAATGTTTTTTAACATTATATTCCTATTTATATATTGTGTTACACATTCCGGTTCAAATTATACGAGTATTCAAATTTGATTTGAATGCAAAATTTAAATTGAATTCCGAATAAATTATTATGATAAAATTAGTTTAGTCGATATTGCTAAATATTTGAAGGTTTTAATGATATTAAAACCATTTTGCATTCGTTCAACTTTATACATTTTATGAGTAACGTAATGTCAAAATTTTCGTGAAAACAAATTTCGGTTTTCAATTTAATATCTTCAATAAAATTCCACTATTAATTAAAACAGAGCACTATTGTTTTAATAAATAAAATGAAAAAAACTGATGAAAAAATTTAATTATTTGCAATATTTTCAAAAACATTTTTTTATTTTATATTGAAAATAATTTATATTGATTTTTTTTTTATATATGACAATAATAATAATTATAATAATAAATAATGTACATACATATAAATATTCAAATATGAAAATTAAATTTATAAAATAATTTCTTTTTTTTTTTTGAAAATTTTCACAGTAAAATCGTTGAGCTTGAAGAAGAACTTCGTGTTGTAGGCAACAACTTGAAATCTCTTGAGGTTTCAGAAGAAAAGGTAAATTATACATATTATGGCAATTTTATTATAATAAAAAAATTATTTTTTACAATAATTTTCATATAAAAGATTGAAACTATATTTAAAATATAATTTATAAAATTTTAATTAATTTATTAGTTAAATTATATTAAAATATTCGGTGTAAGTTCAGAAATCATTATGAAGAATAGAAGTATATTTCAGAAAATCAAAAAATATATTTATAATATATATCTTCGTTCGCCCGCTGTTTAAAGTTAAAGTTAAAAAAACAATTTTGACAAATTTAGAATTTTTAATTATATAGTATATGTATACGATAATATTAATATTTAATTTAAATATTACATAATAAAAATATTCTAAAAAATAAATTTTGATTAGGCCAACCAACGTGAAGAAGAATACAAGAACCAAATCAAAACATTGAACACTCGTCTAAAGGAGGTACTTTTTTTTTTTGGGTTTAAATAGCTGCAAAAAAAAAAACCAATTTCTATAATTTTCAAAAGCGAATACAAGTAAAATATCTACTGAATCGAATATCTAAGAGTAATCTAGAATTCATCTGGCAATTCAGATAAAATTTTTGAAGTTCTTCAAAATAGCCTTTGCAGTAAATATAATCCGGCTTTAAAAACAAAAAAAAAAATTAAAATGTTTTCCAAATATTGTTTATTTTGATTTTGTTCCATTCTGTTTCTGTTTTTGTTTGATTTATATTTTCTTTTTTTTTTATGAAATGAGTTTTGAAAAAAAAAAAAAAATTGCTTTAAAATTATTTTCCAGCGTGGCGATCATTTAATTATTTTTTCTTTTTTTTTTTTATTTCTAATAATTTTTCTCTACATATATATTTTTTTTTAATAATATTTTTTTTTTACTGTTTGGTAAATAACCAAAAAAAAAAAAAACTAAAATAAATGAAATTTACATGTTAATTAGATAACAAAAGTTTTTTTTTTAATCTATTTTAAAGAAATTAATTTCAAAAGGGGGACCTGTTATACATACGGCTCTCAATACTTCATATATTCATAACAAATTCAAATTGCAATTTACAGCAAATTTAAAAGAAAAACTGTACAGATTTTAGCTGAGCATAAAAGACAGCTCAGTTTGCTAAATTTATTTTCAATGTTTTTTTTTTTTTTAATGTAAATGTAAATAGAAATTTGTAAGCAAAACAAAAAAAAAATTTAAAAGAGATTTTTAACATTTTCTCAATTTTCATATAAAAATGTTAGTCTAAAATTAAAATTTTGTTGTTAGAGTGGTCTTTGTTCAGTGATTCAATTAAATAAATGTACGGACGTATATAGAAAAATGCAGTTCTAACGACAAATTGACATATTCAGTAATTAAGACAGCATGGCTGAATAAGTTAAGTTGATCCGTATTTTTTGGTAAACGCATTATATATGAATGTATATAAGGCGTCCCATTCTTCTTATGAGATAAGAAGAAAATATTTAACTTAATTAAAAACATAACAGTAATGTTATGAGTGTGAATAATGAGAGAAAATTATATTAACAATTATTATGGAGGGTTTCCAATTTTCTTCTTGGACAAAAATACGAGTATTGTATTTAAAATTAAAATTTTCGAAAATAAACTTAAATAAAAGCAAAAAATGGGGCTTCTTATAAAAAATTGTGAAAAATCTCTTTTACAGATCAAAATTAAATAAAAAAAAAATTTTATTTACTAACTTAATTTCAATATATTTATTTTTTTATAATTTTTTATTATTTTTGTTTTTTTCTTGATTTTTAAATTCATTTTATTTTAAAGATTATCAGTTTTTTCATTATTGTACAAAAACAAAAAATTATTTTTTTTTTTTTTTAAATTTAGTGTGGATATTTTCGAAATTTTAATTTTAATTTAAAAAAAAACAAAAGACAAAAGATAATTTTTTTTTAATTTAAAATTTTAATTTAATATTCTTTATTTTTTTGTTTTTGAAAAATGAAAAACAAGCATTTATAAAAACGATAAAATATCTACCGAAAATCTCAGCGATTTCTAATAATTTTAAAAATTACTAAAAATTTTTGCATTTTACATTTATTACTAATTTTTCTAAAATAATTTCGTATTTTTAGTTGTTCTTTTAATTATAAAATTTAATATTAATTTATTTTTTAATTTTGTAATTATATTATTTATTTTTTATATTAATAATATTAATGAAATTTTTTTATTTTCTTTTTTATTTTCATGTATAAAATTTTGATATTTTTTATTTGATATGTTTGAATTTTTTTTTTGTGATTGGATTGAATGAAACAATTCCTGATTTTGAATTCTTTGATGCACTGCTGCTTTTATTAAAAAAAAAAAAAAAAATTTTTATGCTTCACGTGAATAATTTTGATTTTTTTTTTTAATGAATTTTGTATATTGTAATGAATTTTTTTGCAATGTTATATGTATCGTATTTATTAACATAAAAAAAAACATTATTTAAATTTGTAAAATTAAAAAAAAATTTTGTTCCTTGTATACTTGTACACACATTCCACCTGAATGCGAATTAATTTAAATACACGTGAATATTATAAAATTTTATTGTATATGGCATAAAAATAAATTTAGGCTACACAAAAAGAAGAAAGTTTTGAAAGTCAAATTAGATTATTGGATCAACAACTTAAGGAGGTATTTGAAAAATTTGATATTTATAGAGCCATTTTTTTTTTTTACTTTTTTTTATGGTAACTGGGTAAAATTAATTGTTTATTTTTAATAGAAATTTATGCAAGCACTTTTACAATCAAATAATTTTTCAATTTTGTTCAAAATAAAATTTGTAAAATTTAGTTAATATTAGTATATTGTAGATAATTTTATTTATATTTTTAATTTTCATTAAAAAATAAAATCATTTATTGGTTAATTTTTTTTTAATAAAATTTTCATTAAAATTTAAAATAAATTAATTATTTGAATAAAATCACGTAAATTATCATTCTGTTTATAAAATAATTTAATTAACATGAATGTATGTACAATAATTAATTATTAATTAATTTATCATTTCATGTAGAGTTTAATAATTTAACATTATTGTAATGAATAACATTAATTCTATAAATTCTGTCACGCATTAATAATTGCTTTAAATAATAAATTTAACTATAATATTAAATAAATAATTTGTTATAATTTATGTATATTTATTTATATTTCTAAATTTTTGACCTATTTTTTTTAAAGTATAAATTTGTGCTCTAAACTATATGTTATATACATATTTTAAAATATCTTTTAATTATTATAAATTTTAATTAAAAATTTTTTTTTAAATTATAATTAATTTTTTCTTCTTTAAAATTTATTCATGTAAATTTATTTATATATAAAATGTATGTATATTTAAATAATTTTATATGTATTCTTTTTTATTAATTTATTAAAATCGATTTTTTGTAAAAGACAAAGAAAAAATATTAATTGTAAACTTACAATATATTATTACTAAAATAAATAAAAATTATTAAATAAAATTGAATATATAATAAAATAAAATTCTGAAAAAAAAATGTAATTTGCAATATTGAGGCCTAAACATTTAAAAAAAAAAAATTGTATTTCAAAAAAAAATCAAAATTATTTTAATATTTTTTTTTAAGCTTGATATTCAATATTCAAAAAAATTTTACTAAAAGAAAGGAAAGTGGGACTTAAATATCATTATTTTATTTTGAATGTCATTTTGTATTTGTTTTTTTTTTTTTTCTTTTCTAGTGTAGTTAAAGTATATTTTGTATTAAATTCAAATTTCTTCAATATATTTCAATGAATATTTGCTATTATTTAAGAAATTATTTAAGAAAAATTTTAAAATTTCGGTAGAAATTTTATCGTCTTCCAAAAATTTTATTTATTTTTTTTTTTTTTGTTAATTTCTATTACGTTTTTGTATTTATTTTATATCTCTAATTATAATTATTATTACTATCATAATTATTGTTTTATATATTTATTTATTAATATTTGTATAAAATTGAAGTAATAAATATAAAATAAAAAAAAACGCATCATAATTTTAATGGTATTTATGTTCAGGCCTGTATAGATTGCAATATTGCTGAGGAGCAAAACCGAAATTTAAAGATACTATTAGATGCTGTAAGTTTATAATATAAATATTAACAAAAATTAAAAAACAAATAAATTTGTATATATATATACATATATATATATATATATATATATAGTTTATTTAATATAAAAACAAAATGTAATAAATTTGTTGCAATTATTTTAAAAATATAATGTTTAAAACAAAAAATCGATATATACCTTAATATTTTCTCTATATTTTTAATATTTAAATGATATATTAAAGTAATAATAATATTATTAAGCTTTGTCTTAATTTGTTTAATTATTTTCCCTATATACACATTTTTATATACAATTATTATTAATATAATAAAATTTATTATTAATTATTCTTTGATTTATATTTGTTTAATAAGATTGGTATATGGTTTCAGTTGAACATAATTATGTTATAAAAGAATTAGAAACTATTGAAAATATAATGTTATTAATTATTTTTCAATACTTTCTTTTAATCAAAATATAATATAAAATATTTTATTTTACTGGATCAAAAAATTTTACGTTTATTTAAAGCAGTACTAAGCAAGAAGCAGTTTATTTAAAAATCATATGGTTATTTTTTTTCTATAATTTTATAATTTTAATAATTTTTAAGAATAAAGCGTAATACCTAATAGATAATTTTAAAAAAAAATTTTTTTAGTTATTTACTAAATATAATATACAATATAAATATGTTGAAATTTTTTAATTTATGATTTTAAACATAGAGTTTATGACTGAATTTAATTATTAAAACAAAAACCAAAAAAAATTTTAAATTGTATAAATAAAAATTATGTTCAATTGAATTAATAATAAATGAATGTAGTAAACGAATGAAAACAGAAAAAAAACGATTATAAAATTAGCGATTTTCATAAACGCAATATTGCAAAATAATAACTATTCTATTAAATCAAAACAGTTCGTATGATTTAACTGCGCTACTCATACTTATTTCTCTATTTTGTTAAAAAAAAATTCGGTTAATAAAATTTGATTATAAACAGAAATGTAGCGAAATTTTCGCTATGTATCGTGATATATTGCGTTTATGAAAAGACCTATTATAATTAAATGTATTTCTTTTCTATGCACATATCCTCAAAAATCTAAATTTTTTTAAATACATGTTTTATTCTGTTTTTAGTTGTAATTATATTAAAATATTTTGCTAAATCCAAATTTAAAATTAAAACAAAAATAAAAAAATCCAAGATTCAAAAGTAGGTAACTATTGTAGTTAGGTTGATTTCAAATTTTCTAATCATTAATTGTAAAATTAACATTAATTAATTCATAAATATACCAATAATGTTTCATAAAAAAAAAAAACTAAACCTTACATTCATAAAAAATTCTTGCTATTTGGCTTAACTAATTTGGTTTGTTAGCTAATTTAGATTAACTGAATATTTAAATTTTAAATAAATTATAATTGTATTTTGTAGCTTGTAATCATTTGTTTTATGCTTTTGTATGTTTTATATTTTTTTAATTATTTAAAATTTTTTCATAATTTTTTCTTTGTTATAATTTTCTTTTTAAATTTGTAAATATAAACTTAAAATTATATTTTTAATTTTTTTTATTATTATATTAAACGCTGGATTGGTTATCAGCTTTTTGAATCCTTAAATAATTAAAACTCTAAAATAAGTACAAATAAATAAATATTATTATAAAAGTTTTAGATAAAAAAAATATAGTATTATAAATTGAAAAATTCGCTTTTGGAAAATTAAATGAAATATAAAACAAAAAAAAAATAGCGATTTAATTTGCAATTTGAAACTATCCTATTATTTAAAAAAATAAATTTGCAACTTAAAACGCTATTTCTTTAAAAAAAGAAAGTCAAATTATTAAAATTATATTTCTTATTTAATTTATATTTTAAATATTCTGTTAATATTCTGTAAAAACAAAAATATTAACAGAAGTAAATAAATCAGAAGAAATAATATTAATAAAAATGAAAATTTGACTTTCTTTTTTAATTTGCAAAAAAAAGAAAAAAAAAAAATGAATCTGATTAAAATAAAATAATATTAATTAAATTTCATTTTGTTTTTTTTTTATTCACTTATTAAATAATAATAACAATAGGCTGAAGCCCGTGCTGAATTCGCTGAGCGTTCAGTCCAAAAATTGCAAAAAGAAGTCGACAGACTCGAAGGTATGTATTAAAATTTTAATAATAATATTAATTATATTGAATTAATATTACATTTTTTATATATATATATATAAAATGTGATGAAATTTTTTTACTATTTATTTTATTATAAGTATACTAAATGAAATATTTGTAAAATAATTTCATATTGAAGAAAAAAATAAATAAATTGAAGATGTTTTTTTTTTTTTTTTTTGAAAAATTAATAATCAATAATTTTATTTGTAATTAAATCATACTAATAAAAGTTATTAAATTGCTTTGCATTATTAAAAATATTTTTTTGCAAAAATTTAATTCAATAGGAAATTAAAATTAATTTTAAATGATAATTTTTAAAGAAGCAATTTTAAAATATAATTAAATTTAAAGAACTTTGTTCTATTGTTATAATTTTTTAATTCAAGAATTCGCAATAAATTTTAATATTTTAATTTTTAAATGATTCTTTCGAAAATAATTAATTTGTTTAAAAACATCTTCAATTCTTTTTGTTTTGTTTTGTTATATAAATTTAATATTATTGTTAATTGTTTTTATTTTAATTAATATTTAAAATGTTTTTTTTTATTATGTTTTTTTAATAATTATAATTTGTTTTCTATATTTTTTTTTATTTTATTTTTATGTTTCCTTTTAATCCAATTATTACAAAAACTTTATATTGACAATCAACCGCACGCTCAAATAACCTCATAATGCTGTAACAAATATTTGATGTTAACTAAAAAAAAAAATGAAAATCCAAACAATTTTTTTGCATTTAAAATAAAATATTTTTAAAATTATATTTGCATTTATAATTTTTTTACTAAACTTAAAATTATAATAAAAAATATTTTGTTTTTTTCTGTTTTTGTTAAAATATACCCTTGTGTTTGTTATTTAAATGTTTTTGTTTTACTTTACTTAATTATTTTTATTATTATTATATAAAATTAAATTAAATTTATGTAAAATAATTGAAAAACAAAAAACGAATATTTAAAAAATGTTAAATATAAAATTAATTAAACAAAATTTGTGTAAAAATAAATGAAAAACACAAAACAAAAAATGTAAACAGATGATTTACTGAATGAACGTGAAAAGAAAAAATTACTTCAGGAGGAAATGGAAGCTACTCTACACGATATTCAAAATATGTAAAAACAAAAAAAAAATGATAAGAGCATAAACAAATAATCAATAATTATATTATTATATTATATTATTTAAAAAAAAAGAAAACAAAATAATTTCAAATACATTGCAAAAAAAAAAAACAAAGTTTACAAAAGACAGGCAAAAATAAAAACAAATGTTTCAAAGTAGAAAGAAACAAAGAAAAGATTTAGAATCAAAAAACAAAAAAAAAAAAGAAGAAAAGAAGCTCAAAATTTTATTTAAGAAAATTTAAAAATTCTGAAAAACTGTTTAAAATTCCAATTTTATTATTAAAAACGAAATAATTCAAAAAAATTTATTATTTTTAAAAAAAAAAAAAAACAATATTTTTCTAAATTTAACAACCACAACTTATAAGAAATTTTTCTTATAAAAAAACATTTATGTTTTTATTTTCTATTTTAAAAATAAAAAAATTATTTCAATACATTTTTATATAATTAAAAATTCAATAATAATGCATTTATTGATTTAAAATTATATTATTAAATTTCATATTAAAATGGGTATTATATTTTTTTCATTTTATTCAATATTCTGTAGTATTGTTAAAGGGATATTCAAAAAAAAAATTAAAAATATTGTAAAAACAAGCATTCATATATTTAATTAATATATATTATTTTTTTAATATAAAAGACAATGTAATAAAGAAAACATTCCAGAATATCATTCCAATATAATTTTGATTATTATAAGTATTGAAATAATTGTGTTTTTTTTTTTTCTCTTTTAATATGTTATTAGAAAAATATTGTTTAAAAAAATTGAAAACAAGAAATCCAGAAATTAAATGTTAACATATTTAAGTATTATGTTTGCATAACAAAATTACAAAAAAAAAACAATATCTTTATTGATCTTAAAAGCTTATCATATTTAATAATATAATAATCAACTACATTTAAAATTAAAAAACTATAAATTTAATTGAAGATTTCTGATATTCGTTTAATAAAATTCATCTTAAATTTTATTTTATTTAAAAATTTTCAATTTTATTGTACTTTATTCTCATGAAAACTTTCATAAATCTATGTATTATGTAATTTCTTTTCTTAAAGAAAGCTTAATTTCAATTTTTAAAGAATTTTTTATTAATTTTCTAAATTATTAATAAATATTAAAATTTTCTTTCATTTTAAATCTTTTAATTTGCAATATGCATTTAAAATTAAAAACAAAAAAATTTATATTGTAAAAATTAAATAATATCAATAATTTTTTTTCAATTATTGTTTTTTGCTATAAAACATATTTTAATATTTTAAATTTAACAAATATTGCAATTATTTTTATAAATATTTATAAAAACAAGATAAAATTAAAAAATCTGTAACTTTAATTTAAAATTAAAAATGAAAAGTTATAAAAAATATTAAGCAAACATAAAAAACATTCAAAATGATTACGTTTCGGATTCACTTTGTTTTTGAATTATTTTTTTTTTTAATTATTATATAAAAATTACATGATGAATTAAAAATATTGTGTTTTTTATTAAAAATAAAAATATATTTTGTGTTTTTATTATTTTAATTTTATTTTTATATATACATTCATATATATTTATAAGTATAATATAAAATATACATTCCAATATGTAATCTATGTGCTATTTTATGGTTCTTTGTATATTCTACATTTTTTTTTAAATACTAAAGTAATGTTTATTAATTTAAATATTAAAAAAAAAATATTTAAATTTTTGATACAAAATTTAATTATTTTTAATAAAATTTTTTAATTTTGATTTCATCATGTAATTTTTGTGTGTTCTCCATTATAAGATTCTCAAATAAATTTTGAGAAAAAATTTATTATTTCTTAATTACATTACTAAAAAATTCCTCGTTTGAACTTCAATTTTCTTCTTTTTTTTTTTTAATTAATAAAGAAAATTTGAAAAATAAGCAAATAAAAAAAACTTTTTTTATTATTTAATATTTAAAATTAAATATTAAATTCAAATTTAAATATTATTTAATATTTAAAATTAAAATTAAAGAGATACAAATTATAAATAAATTCCATATATAAAAAAAAACTTTATATACTTATATAATTAAAAACTATAATTCTGTTTTTTTTTTTTATTATAAAAAATTATATTAAAAATAATTTAATTAAATAAAAGCACAAACAAAAAAATCAAACAATTTTAAAATTGTTAAAAATTTTTTTTTTCTTTTTCGATTTTATTTGTACATTTATTTTTAGCAAGTAAATAATTCAAAAAAAAAAATGAAAAAAGGATATAAAATTCTTATGATAAATTTTCTTAAACAATTTTCTAATATAAATTCTAATATATAAATTATTTATATATTCAATTATTAAATTTATTATGGTAAATTTTTTTTTTCATCTACAAAGTAAAAAATTGAAAAACATATTTTTTAAAAAATCAATTAAAATTAATTAAATATGCAATAACGATTGAAATAATTTTTTTTTTATTATTCTTATGTAATTTGTTTTAAAAAATTTAGAAAATCTACATTGTTTCTTCTTAATTATTATTATTAATTTTGTTTTTGGATTATCATTTTTTTTTTAATTTAGCAGACACATGATAATTATCTAGAACTACTATTATATTCGTATATACTATACATTCTAAAATAATAAAACATTATATAATATATTTTTATTAAATAAAATTTAAATAAATTTTAATTTATATGCTATACGTTTAGAATAGATACATATATATATATATATATATATATATATATATATATACTTTTATTTAAATACATCTGTTATACTTTCATTTCTGTTTATCTTATTTTCTGTCAATCACATTCCAAATCTTTTATTGATTTAATAAAACAAATTTATATTAAATTACTTTTCATTAATTTATACACCCTGATTTCAATTGTGCAGATATATCGCAATAATACAAAGTCTAGATTTCAGCATTTTATATGCAATTAAAAAAAAATTTCTTTTATTTTTCTAAGATTAATTTGGAATCAAAATTTATTATTTAAATCAAAAAAAAATTCAGTCATTATTTTGTTAATCATGGCATCATTATTACTTTTCTTCTAATTTCTATTTATGAAATTTTAATTAACTAAAAAATTAATAAAAATGGAATAAAAATACAAAAAAAAATAATAAAATAAAATAAAATTTTTCAATTAAGACCAAATGCTGCCTTTATTATAAAAACAAAAAAATATTTTTCTATATAAAATAATTTTTTTACTTTTAATTTTAATAACAATAAAACAAAATAAAACTAAATGGTAAATATTAATAAAAGGAAAAATAATTATAATATTTATTTTTTTAATTCAATTTAATAAAATAGAAAATAAAATTGCTTATTTGATCTGTTTCATCATTTCATTCATTTTTTAAAATAATTAAGAAAACACAAAAAATATTTATGCTAAATAAATTCTGTTCACTCTGAAGTGAAAGAAACTTAGTGGAAACACTCATAGATTTTTGTAAAAAAAAATGTTGCAAATAAAAATAAAAAAAAAAAATTATTTTTTGGTGCAAGGTTGGGTCTATTATTCAGTTTTATATTTTTAAATTTTTTTTTTTTTTTGATTTTTTGCAATTATTTGCTTTTGTTTAAAGTTACATTTAAAATTTTGTAAACACGTCATGTTTTCGATGTTAATTATCCACAATTTCTGGAGATATTTTAATTTTTTTTTTTTAAATAAATAAATATTTAATATAATATAATTTTTTTTTTGTGTAATTAGAAATTTTAAAAAATTTGTCAATCATAATTAATTTGAATTCTAATTTTAAATCAAAAAAAAAAAAGAAAATGCATAAGAAAAGCGAAATATATAAAATTAAATTGTTAAAATAAAAAAAAAGCAAGAATACTTTTGTAAATTAAATTAAAAGAAAAAAATAAAGCAGATTTTTTTTTTTTTTGATAAAATTAATGAAATATATAAGAATAATGATTAATAAAAATTAAATATAATTTTTTTTTTTCAATAGTATTTAATTATATATCTACTGAAAATTATTTTTATACTTAAATTACTTTTAAATTCTATATGATTATAGGGAATTTTTGCGATAATTCAGACATGAACTGAAAGTTCTAAACTTAATTTTATAATTCTTTTAACAAATACTTGCAAATCTGCAGAAATTAAATATTTTACTTTTGCAGTTGTGTAGCATACTCGAGTAATTCTTCAATGTCCAACGTTTGTCTATTATGTTCTTCTAATTTATGATATTTTTGCAGTTTTTATAAAAAAAAAAAACTATAGAACTTTAAGCACAACATTCATTCTCAAACATGCATTTTTGGAAATTTTGTAGTTTTCTTCGAGCATATTAAGACCTAAGTTAAAAATGAAATATCGAAAATCCCCTATGTTCAAATTTTTATTAAAATTAATATTAAAGTATACATTTATTATAAAACATTAAAAAAAAACGAATGTTTTAAATTAAAATAAATTAATTCCATAAATTATGTTGAACGCAGAAAATCCTTAAAGATAATAAAAATATAATTTTATTTTCTATTTAATCGTCTTTTTTAATTTTTTTTCTTTTTAAATGTACTTCCATTTTTTTTTTAATGATTATTATTATTAATTTTTAATTATTATAATTATTTTTAATTTTAAGTATGTAAAACATACCAATATAAATTACTATAATACCAGAAAAACAAAAAAAATTTTAAAAGAACTAAAAAAAATTAAAAAAAAAAAGTATAAAACGAGAAAAAAAATTTTATTATTTTAATTTTTTAAAATTTATAACTATATATAATACTTTTATACAAATAGGTATATATTATACAAAATATATGATATAAAAAAAGAAACAAATAAAATATGCAATACAAAAAAAAAAGAATACTTGTGCCTAAAAATATGTAATAAAAATGTGTTTTTTTTTTATATATATTATTCATTGCTTTTATGTTTCATTATATTAATAAATATTAAGTACTTATGATATTAAAAAGTTAAAATTATAAAATTGAAAATCTATTAAAATTTATAAATTAAACACTAGGTCTGAAAATACAGTTTTAACTTAGTACTAATAGATTGTAGTGTGTATTTTTATTAAAAACTGCGTTAATTGTAAAGCAGTGCTTTTAAAAACGTAGATTTGGCAATAGGTCTTTTGAAAATTACAATTACAAGTAAGACATTTCAAAAATTTCAAGCGATTTCATTTCGATGGGTTAATTAATTATCAAATTAATTATTAAAGACATATGTATATATGTTACATATATGTAGTATATATAAGTTTTTTGATTTTCATATGTAAGACCAATACAATAATGACAATTTCAATTTAATACTAGAATTGCGTTTTCAAAAATAACATATTTAATTAAAATTCTGCTATCTAAAATCTTTTTGCTACTGCAAAACAAACAACATGTTTTTGAATTTGTCAATCATTGAAAAAACTTTTAGTTTTAAATTGGAAATGCGTACGCAGGCTACGGTTTCTTCAGAAGAACCTACTCTCACATTATTAAACGAATTAATGTTTAAAATATTTTTAATAATTTAAAACTCTTTTTAATTTAAGATTACTATATTTGTAACTTAAATACAAAAATTTTTAGTAAGCCGGATTGAAGTTGGCCTACATAATATTATTTATTTAATTTAAAAAAAATCTACTTTTTAAACTAGATTTCAAATATATAAATCTTTGTGTAGCATAGTTTGCCTTATATTTTTCATTAATATAAATTTACTAGTTTTATTATTATTTAAATATTAATTTTGTCATAAGTACTTATATTGAACAATATAATGTAAATTGATTAATAATAGATTATGTATTGTATGTTATGAACATGCCCATCGTCATCCTTTAAATATTTGTTAAATTTATCCTATTTATTATATTTAACAAATACTTTTTCTCTTTTTTCTCTCTATATTTAAATAAAAATAATAAAAAAACAAAATGTCTACAAAATGAATTTTTATAACAACAAAACAAAACTTCAAAATTCACCAATCAACATTATTACAACTTTTTTAAAACAAATATACAACAAAAATATTTAATAATATTAACAATAATCGTTATTTAAACAAACAACTTTACAATAATCGTCAATTGCCAACAATTAAAATAAAAACTTATAATATAAAAAAAAAATTTTGTTACACTTATCAGATGAATTAATATGTGAAAAAGAAAAATATTTCCTAATTGAAGATGATTTAGATGCAGCATTTTGTGATCTTATTCCTAGCTGTGCGCCTGGTTGGGGTATAGAACCTCCAAAAGAACCAACACCACCTCCAGCAGAAGAAACTGCTGAAGGTACAGCAGTTACTGAAGAAGAAGTGAAACCTGAAGCGGCAGAAGAAGCAGCACAAATACCTGAACCCGAGCCAGAACCAGAAGTACCAAAAGAACCTACACCACCACCTCCACCACCACCACCATTTGAATACGCAAAAGATTTACCACCAGAGGGTGCTGAAGTTCCATATGTTAAAAATTTTGAGCCTGGAGATGAAATTCCTGCTGAAGGAGAATCAGCCCCACAAACTGAAAACATACCAGCACCAGAAGGTGGTAGTGTTCCACCAGCTGAAGGTGCTCCTGCAACAACCGACGTTCCAACATCTACTGATGCTCCACCAGCAGAAGGAGCACCAGCTGGAGATAGTGTACAACCAACGGAAGGAGGCCAACCAACTGTTGAAAGTGCCCCAGCAGTTGTTGTGGAAGGACCTCCACCAGAAAATCCTGCAGCTCCAACAGAAACAGCACCAGTAACAGAAACAGCTTCATCATCATAAGAAATTGAATAACAAATAAAATATTGAGATCTAAAACAAAGTGTTAATTATCATAGATAATTTTTTTAAAAAATTTGTTGGCATTGACGTGTTATTAAATCATATAAAATAAATTTAATTTCACAATTTATATAAAATTTTTACATTATATTTTCAAAGTTTTACATTACATTCCAAATACGCAGAAGAAAACCACAAAGTCACCAGTCACATATTTTTAAGAAGGGTTTTTGGAAACCTTTAATACTTCCGACTCATTTTCATTTTGTAGCATTATTACACATTTTTTATTTAATTTTTATTTTATTTTCTTTTAACAATTTTTTCTTTTTTTTCGAAATTTTGACTTTAAAAATCTTTTGCTTACCCGCATCTCAAAAATCATTGCATTAAAATAACACGCATAAAATGATAAAATTGTCGAATTTGGAAACATTCGAACGAAAAAAAACGAAATAAAATAAAATCCTCGAATAAAAACATAAAAATCTTCGAAAATTTAGACGAACTGATCATTGAAAAAGAACGATATAAATTAGTAATGGGAGCTTTAGATGAAGCATTCGTAGAACTAATTCCAGGATTAAATGAAGCATATGATGAAAAGGGACAACCCAGACCAGCTGAAGCACCTAAACCACCAGAACCAGAACCAGCTGAAGGTGAAGCACCTGCAGGAGAAGGTGAAGCAGGAGCCGAGGGTGAAGCTGCTAAGGAAGGTGAAGCTCCAAAAGAAGGCGAAGAGCCTAAAGAAGGCGCTGAGGGTGCACCAGCAGAAGGAGGAGAAGCAAAACCAAAAGAACCAACGCCTCCACCAAAAGAGCCAACACCTCCTCCACCACCACCACCACCATTCGAATATGCTATAGATTTACCACCAGAGGGTGCTGAAGTTCCATACGTCAAAAACTACGACGGACCAGTGCCTACTGGTGAAACAATTACTGTTCCAACAGAAGGAGCTCCGGCAGAGGGAGCTGCTCCACCAGCTGAAGGAGCCCCACCAGCAGAGGGAGCTGCACCACCAGCCGAAGGAGCCGCACCCCCAGCTGAGGGAGCTGCACCACCTCCAGCTCCAGCCGAAGGTGCTGCTCCACCAGCCGAAGAAGCTGCTCCTCCAGCAGAAGGAGCTGCTCCGCCAGCCGATGGTGCTGCTCCACCAGCACCAGCGGAAGGAGCGCCTCCAGCCGCCCCTGCAGCAGATGCACCAGCCGAAGCACCAGCGCCGCCAGCAGATGCTCCACCTTCTTAAATTAATTTACCTATAAAAAAATTACAACAACTTTATCATATAATAATAATAGAATTTGCTATACGAAAAATGAAAAACAGAAAAAAAAAAGAAACACAAACAGTCCGTCTAATGAAACACCATTTTTTTAATTTTTTAATACGATCAATAAAAAAAAAAGAAAATAAAAAAAATTTTTTAATATTGGCATGTACATAATTTATTATATATTTACATACATAAGTATATTATATTTATATAAAATACTAGTTATAATATTTAATGTTTTCAGATGAAACATGAATTTTTTTTTTAATATCGATATAAAAAATTTCAAATTTGCTATTAACGAAACGTTTTTTTTTTTTTATTTATTTTTTTTAACCTTTGCAAATTTAATTTCTTTATTTATAGTTTAATTTCAAATCAAAAATAAATTATCATTGAGTATTTTTTAAAAAAGAAACTTACATTAAAAATGCCATAATCGAGAGCAAGTAATTTAAATTAGCTGTTGATCAGTTAATAGAAATGTGTAGAAAAGCCTTATTTCTTGATTATTAAAATTTTAAAATTATTAGATATTAAGAACCTGCAAATTAGAGAATAGATTTTAAAATATGATGTTAAGTGTGATCAAAAGAAACACACTCTTATTTAGTATAACAAAATCAAATTGGAAAACAATCCTTTTGAGCAGCATTTCCATGTAGTTGAACTTGTTAAAGGCTTCATTAATACTCAATTGAATTTAATTTTGTTTTTGAAATTTAATTTATTTTTTAGTTTTGGTATTTTTTTTTTTCCTTAATAATTTTAAAGAAGTGTGAATCGAGCCTGCAAAAAATGCAAAAATGAAATTTTGCCATTAAATATTAAAAATGCCGCTTTGCTAAAATAGTTTAAAAAAAAAAAACTTAATAGGTAATTATTTTTTACTTATTTTCTTTTAATATTTTTAATTAAATTTTATTTTAAATTTAAATTTAATTTTTTTTTTATTATTTCAAAATTTATTTATTTTATTATTTCTTTTCTTTATTTTCATTTATTTTTTTTTTGTGCCCGAAAACAAAAAAATCGATTATTTCAAAAAAATATGAAAATGATGTATATAGACGACCTCGTCTTGGAAAAGGAAAGATACAAGGATATTGGAGACGATCTCGATACCGCATTCGTCGAACTTATCCTCAAGGAATAAATTATTTTATAATGAACTTTTTGCAATTGCGCATAAATTTATAACAGTTTTTTTTATATGTATGAAATATTATAGTAAAATATTATTGTATTATTATAAAAAAAGAAAACAAGAACCTATTTATGTGGTTGTTTGACTCAAATATAAATGTAAATTTTCAATAAAAGTTTACTTTTATTTTAATTTAGAACAAAAAAAAAAAATTTGAAAAAAGGAAAAAACAAAACATCAAAAAAGGACTTTATTTTTTTTTTAATTATTTATTTATTTATTATTTATTTTTTTATTATTCAATTTTAGTTATTAATTATTTTTAAATTTAAAATTTTGTTCCATCACATATACAATTTATTTTTGCGCAAAAATAAAAAGTAAATAAAAACAAATTTCTAATTTAATACACCAATAAAAAATTTGCTGTTTTTATTATTTTGCTAATTTTCTTTCTTAAAATTTTATTCATATATGAAAACAAAAAACAGAGGACTACAACAAAGAGAAGGAAAAGTACAAAGAAATTTCACATCAATTGGATTTATCAATTGCGGACATGTACTAAAAATATTGAATATTAAAATAGGCCTTTTATTATAACCATATTTATTATTTCTTTAATTCTCTTTTAATTTATTTTCAAAAACCTTAATTACAAAAATATTTATAAAGATTAAATTCAATGATATTATTATACTGATTTCAAAAATATTATATTAATAAAATTATAAAATTTAATTTTCGAAAAAGACTTGTATAGAAAAAAATAAGAAAGAAAGGATATTGAATTTATATCCGTTTATGCAGACCAACTTCGAACGTGTATAAAAATAAAATGAAATTTTTTCAAATGTTTTTCCGCTCAATTTTATAAAAGGACTACTAAAAATGTTTAAAAGTTTCTAATATTTATATGAATATAGATTAATTTAATTGGTTTTTATATTTCAAACAAAAAAAAATTTTATTTAATTAAAAAATTCATTTAATTAAAAAATTTAAAATTCCATTTATGTACCTTCGGAATGTGTGTTGTTAGAAGGGAATTGATTATTAAATCGAGTTATTTATTGCCATTAAACAAAACAAAAATTTAAATTTCGTCTTTAGACCGGCATATCACAAGACAAGAACAAATTATTATAATAAAGGAAATATATATGTATATAAATATAGGCATATACAAGCAGGCAGACTTGATAGAAATAGTTTGTGAATATTATGAATGTGAAATTAATTAAAATATTTAATAATTTTCAAATCTTAACACTTTAATTAACAAAAAGATTATTAAGCATAATAAATTGATTTTATGATTCCTTATGATAGCTATTAATACTCCAAATATGTACACATGTAAGGAGACAATAATATTATATACATAATAGGTGTTCTTAATTAAATAATTATTAATAATTACTATTTCAAATAAATATTTAAAATAAGGTTTCACAAATTATAACTTTGTTTTAATCTTTTCAATATACTTTCACCTACTTATGCAATTACATATATACTTATACCACTTTGAATCCTATGCGTATCAGAAAAGTATTTCAGAACTTATCACCTCTTTTCAATAATATTTTAATTTTTTGTATAGAATTTTGAATTTCGAAATTTATTTACTAAATACCTTTTAAAAATCTTGAATAACAACCAACTGCGTTGAGTGATTCGAATAACAGAATATAAGTGAATAAGAATTTAATCTGAATAGGAGTGAACAAAACTTAATAAACTTGTATGGAACCACAAGCAAAATTAAATGTTCATTTAATAAAAAATTATGAAAATTCAATCAAAATATGAGTAAAATCTTGTTGCTTTTTGATTTTTTTATAAAAATCGCTTATACCCACCAATTATTATTATAGCTTATAAATTCATATGTGTACATGTATATATATATTTTCATTGTATGTATTATGTATATGTATATATTTAAATTATAAAATTAATTTAAATTTATTTGTTTTGTTTTTTCTAAACATTTTAAAATTCTAGAATAATATGCGATCTTAAGATGATGCGTGTGTACGATTAGCAAAATTTATTTAATTAATGGGCTAATAATGTATGTAATTCACAATATCAGGTGATGTGTTTTTTTTTTTTAAATTTTCTAGATATTAATTAACACTTACCCATTCTTCGCTGTAGTGAATAATATTCTAAAAAATTTAATTCTTATAAAGTAATTACTTTTAATTGCAACATGTTCATGCCGCCCAATGTATGTAATATTTCACAATTCAATCTGGTGATTCTATGGAAACATTTAATATTATTTGTAGGCTCTAATAATAGGGAGAATACCAAAAATAATATAGAAAAAATAAAATATTTATTATCACTATTGCTTATTCACATTCTAATAATAAAAATTTTTATATTAACTGTTAATATCGAATTTCAAAAATCAAGTAAAGAATCTTTTTAAACAATAAATAAATTAAATATTACAAAAAACAAAAATAAAATTGATCGAAAAAGTCATCTATGGAAATTTTTAATTATCTGTGTAAGTAACCACCGAAAAATTATATGTTATGTGCTTTTTTTAAGCTTAAAAGTGCTTCGTTTTCATTGTAATAAGGTAAACTCAATTCTATATAGGGTGTCCCTACACGTGATGGAACTCCTCAAGCAATATGATAGAATGTATTCAGACGAACAAAAAACATCTAGTGGCAAAAAAACATTTTGGAGGGCCCAAAAAAACAAAATGTCAGCAGGTGTTTTTTGTTAGTCTTGAGGCATTCTAATATATAATCCTAGTTCGCTAGCTCCATCAAGTTTCGGATATCCTGTTTATATATACAAGTCTTTTAATAAATCAATAATATGAATTTAAATACCAAGTATTAGAGAATGTTCTCATAATATAAGTACATTAATTTTTTTTTTTTTTAAAAAACAAATTGAAAAATATTTATTTAAAAAGAAGAAAAAAATGTACATGTGTATATGTATATGCAATTAATATATTTGTACAAAATATATTATATTTTTAAATTTTCAACTATAGAAAATGGAATGCAGTTCTGCACAATTTTTTTTCAATTTTACTATTAAACTCAAAATCATATTAAAGATTCAAGAATAATTTTACAAAATAATAGCAATTTGATTCATTTAATTTGTTATTGTAATTTAAATATATTAAGTTCAAAATATTACATAACTAGTAATCAAAGTGATTTCATCAAGTGTGATCCGCAAAATTCCATACAAATAATTTTTATATTAACGAAAACAGATCATAATAAAAGGAATTTGTTTAGGGTACTTTTATGGTGTAGTAGCTATGATTCAAAGTTCCTATACAAACAGAAATTGTCAAAAGAAGAAAAGTTGTCGAATAGCAAGTCAAGTAAATGTCAAATAAATTTCTTTAAACATTGATTTATAAGTATGTTAACATATAGTTAATATAAATTTAAATAAGGTAATTGATTTGTCTAATTATTTTTAATTCAAATATCTACATATACATACATATATTCGACTTTTATTATGAATATGAATTATAACTATTGTACTATAAATTTATTAAAGCATTCATTCTATTCTAAAAAAATCACATAAGGCAGTAAGTACATTCAAATATCAAAAAACTATTTTTTAACTTAAGAAACAACAACATAATAAGAACATTTTGATTTTATATTTTTATAAGATGATCCAGTAGTAAGTACAATATTATATACCATAATTTAGAGAATCAAAAAATGGGTAAAACTTTTGTTCAGAAATTGATTTAAAAACTCGATAGTTTTTGATTTACAGGAATTTTAAGAAAATTTGATAGAGATTTTCACTTGCTCGTATCATCCGGTCTCCAAATGGTATTAATTTTAAGTAAAGCGTTTCCGAAAGAATTCATTGAAACCTTTACGAAAATATATGGCTTAATTTCCTTGTAGATTCGGAATGGCAAACAAAATTAAATCTTGAACTCAATGAGCAATGAAATTCATAATATAATTAGTGTAATAGGCACAATCCTATAAATATATATATGTTCTTGTTATTGTGTGTTTCAATAGTAGATTGTATGTAGCAGTCAATGTAAACAAAAAAAATACTTAGTAATCATGTGGATTAAAGTATAAAGCAATGTAGAGAACATTTCGTCGGCAATTTCTTCA